CCATAGTGTATCATCTGCCAGATTAATTTTGCACAGTGCAAATTAATCTACATTTGTCACATGATTTTCGCGATACGCATAATCAATATCTAAAATACGTGACTTGAAAATGATGCGTATTTTTCTTTTTTAGTTGGCAAAATGGAGAATTATGAGCCCCTGGAAATAATTGGTACTGGCTCATTCGGGCTAATTCGTAAAGTAAGAAGAAAGTCCGATGGAAAGGTACGTTTAATATTTAACATTTTATTTCGTCATTGTCCTAACGCGAAATAATTCCCCAATAGATACTGGCTCGTAAAGAGATCGATTATCGGTGTATGTGTGATAAAGAGAAACAACAACTCGTGTCAGAGGTCAATATTGTTCGCGAACTTAAGCATCCAAATATTGTGAGATATTATGATCGATATGTGGACAATGAAAATTATATGATTTATATAATTATGGAATACTGTGAAGGCGGCGACCTTTCTTCTCTAATTAAAAAGTGTAGAAGAGAAGGGTACATTTACTTATATATATACTATATAGGTTTTTCCTGTTATCTAAATTCAGAAGCTTCATTTGTTTGTTTTTTTTTCTCTACAATAAAGGAATTATCTGCCAGAGGACAGCATCTGGTTTTTCTTTACCCAGATACTATCGGCACTTCACGAATGCCACTATGGTTATGGTAACAGCAAGAGTGACTCTCCGCAAACTAAACATACCACAATTCTTCATCGGGATATTAAGCCAGATAATGGTAAGGCGCCTTATGTTCGCGAATATAAAGTATGATTATTTAACTGATTATTATAACGATGGTGTTACAGCAAGAGGACTGATCATAATGTATTGATATTAAAAATATTATGTGCCAAAGTTTTTTTGGATAGTAATAACAATATTAAATTGGGTGACTTCGGCTTGTCGAGGACCTTAAATCCAGAAAGAGAGTTAGCACGGACATATGTTGGTGTAAGTTCTTTTGTATTAAATTTTTCTTAATAAAATGCATTTACCCTATTAGTATATTGATCTTCCGCTAAAACTTCATGACGATAGACTCCTTTTTATATGTCACCCGAATTAATAACCAAATCGCTTTATGATGTTAAATCAGACATATGGGCTCTTGGATGTCTACTGTACGAACTTTGTGCTTTGCAGTGAGTATTTGTCTATGGATGACCTAATCTTAAGCATAAAGTGATATTTCATATAAAATCTTATTTTACCAAAGGCGCCCATTTCAAGCCATATCGCCATCAGAATTGGTATCTAAGGTTAGAAAGGGTAAAATTCCACCTTTACCGTCACAATATTCGGAGGAATTGAATCGAGTCATCAAAGCGATGTTAGATATTGATGTAAGATTTTTTACCGTGTAGCGAAAAATGAGATTAAATATGTGCTTAATGAAATCTTCGCTGCATATGCTTAATGCTCTACAGCCAGTTAACCGACCCAACACCACAGAATTTTTTAAACTAGAAAGAGTAAGAAATTGCAAGGAACAAATGGAGATGTTGAAATCGTTAGTATTATGTTCGTCGTCTTTTTACACTGAACTACTTTTATACAATAGTTCTTAATTTATTCATTTGATCTAGGAATTCTGATCTTAAACGTCGCGAGGAAGAATTGAATTCTAGAATAAAACAGCGTGAAGAGGAACTTAGTTATAAAGAGGCAACTTTGCACACACGCGAAATGTTACTGGCTAGTAAGGAGGAGGAATTGAGAAATAGTTTCTCGGGACTTCAACTTCAAAAAGAGCAATTCGATGCAGAAATTAAACGTCACGCTGAAAATTTGAACGTGGAAATCGAACGCCAGAGGGAAGAATTGAGGATTGAATTTTTGGAACTTCAACGGAAAAGGGAAGAGATAAACAATGGCTTTTTGGAACTCGAAAAAAAGGAGAATGCGTTTAATGAAAAGGTGTTGAAGAAAGAAGAAGAGTTGAAATGTAGCTTTCTGGAACTTCAACGACAAAAAGAGTTTAACGCGATTTTACGAGAACGCACGCAAACTAAAATTTTTGCGAACAGCTCTTATGAAAATAGTTTGAAGGATAGTCAACATCGAACTGGTAAGCGTGCCAAAGTTGGAATCGTATTATTCATATTTACCATTGAAAAAATATGAATAACACGATTCCAATTTTCAATGGTTTTTATGATGCCCTATGCACAACGTTTTAGCTTGGAATCAATTTCAAGCAGAGATAACATGATTACTAAAATAGAAGCCGAAATTCCTCCGCTAAAGAGAACATTTTCTGATGTCGGAATCAAGACTCAAAAGACAATTGTATTCCGACAAGAACTATCGAAAAGCAGACCTAGAAAGTTGATATATCGACCGTTAGAACCGTCGCGATCTTTTAACCAAGAATCCGTGGTTTCAAGTCAAATCCCCAAAAAGAGATTACGGACGGAAGAAGAAATCGTTGTATGGGATCCTAATGACGATGACGCGCCATCACCTTTTGTAAAGGAACGAAGGACCACTAAGGTTATATAATTTATATAGTGTTGAATTGGTTGTTACTTTCGTCATTGACTTCCCTACCTAATTTTAGACAAAGAAAGTCACCTGAAGATCAGTCTTTGATCTGCGAATCGAATGTTTATTTTTATATTTCAGGTAGCAAAAATTCATTTAGTAAAATTCTAAGTGGTCGCGCCAGAATACAAGGAATAATTAATTCAATGCATAGATTCGTAGCATATTGCGCTTGTTATAATGCTAGAATTTGTACGTGATTTTATATAAGTCTAACTGTTAAGCTTTTGTACAATTGATTCTAATAAATAAATTTTAAAAAACCAATTGTTCGTTTAAAAAATAAATAATAATTAAAAAAACCCTTTTGTTATAATCAAAGAACAATATAATTAATAATTGGTATAGATTGATATCTTAATTAAAAATATATTCTAATAATATAATTTAAAAATTATACAAAATTAGAGGAAATACAAATATAATCAAAAATATATACAATAATAAACAAAAATTACAGTAAGTGCAAAACTTTTTATGCTATTGTTTTTGTTTCATTAAATCAATAAAAATTATTCAAACTGAATAAAACTATAAATATAGCATTTTATCAAGATATAAAAATAATCAAAAATATTAAAATCAAATAGTAATTAATTTTTTATTTTAATTTTAAAAATTTATCAATAATAAATTTTATGTACAGTATACAGCATCTATAATTTTACTTATTAAGTTATTACATAAAAATAATTTGAGTAAATTTGTTTTTAAATTATAAATAATAGGTAGGTGTATAAATAAATAAATAAATAAATTTAAACAGATTTAATTATTTTTGTTTAAATATTATAATAAAAAAATTATTTTTTTTTCAGATTAAGAATACTAGTATTACATATATTTTATTAAGTTATTTATATCCAATTACATAAGTACATGATTTATTTAAGTTAATTTATTCTTTCACCTATAGTTTTATCCAGTTATACTGATTTTTTATTCATCATGGAAGTGAATTAATATATTGAGAGAAATCTTTAGGAGATAAAAATCCTATTACTAGTTTAAATATCTAACCTAATCTAAATCCTAATAGTTATTGTTTGAAGCATATATCTTTTAAAATTAATTAGAATATTCAGATTATATATATAATAAAATTGAATTTAACTATTTTTTAAAAATTATATTATGATAGAATTACTAAGTAATATATAATAAATAATTGAAATTCATATTTAATTCGAAATTGTATTATCAATTAAATTTTTTTTTATAATAATATAAACACATATATAATTCAGATAATCTATTTAATACTTTTTATTTGAAATCTTAAAAAAGGTATTATATTCTTTATTACTACTTGTGATTTTAGATTTTTTTTTTTATTAAATTCTTTTTTTTTTAAATAAATATTGGATTGGGATAACTTTAAACTAGTGTTTTTAATACTATAAAATCTGTTATATCAGAAGAGATTATAGATTTTTACTGGAGTTAAATCAGAAGTCTTTCTTTATATAATCTTTTCTATTTCAATCTGTTTTTAGCTCATGATCATCAAAAAAACCAGCGGTTCTATCTTTATACAATCTAATTAAATTTGATTAAGATTCAAATATTAAATATGATATTTGTAGAAAAACTGATAAATCTATAAATAAAAGATAATTTTTATATGTTTTATTTTTTATAAATATTGAATTAAAAATATATATTTGAAAATTAGGAAGTATTATCTATTATATTATTGACTCGCTAGTCTATAATATAATAAAATTTAATTAAATAATTTTTAAATATTAATTAGTTTAAAAAAAAAAAGAAACTCTTTCCCACAAACAACTCCTTTCATGAAAATTGCCTTTTTAGGAAATTTTCTTTCTTTTAAGAAACTTTGACTAGCAGATTATATTTTTTTGAGGAGGGAAATATAATCCTAAGGACTGCTATTGAGTAATAGAGTCCCAGTAATAGTTCTCCAGGAGAGTGGTAATAGCTTCATTCAAGAAGATCTAATATCTGTTACAAGGTATTGATTAAATAGCTTGGCTATTAGAAGATAAATAAAAAACTTTTTTATGTTTAGACCTTTCTTTATACAATAATCACAATCTTTAAAAAACAATCAAACAATACTCAATTTAAATATATACAAGAGATAGTATTTTATTTTTTCAGAATTTTTGTTTTTTACTGATAATGACTAGTGAAAGATTCTTCATATCCTCTGGCTAGTTATTAGTTCTTGCCAATATTATACATCCAAAATCTTTCAATACCTTCACAAAAAATTCCTTCATATAAAAAACTGAAGTCAGTTTATTTCCATCAAAAGATCTATGATACATAAAATACTAATTATATTTCATACTACCCTTTCACATCAAAACAATACAACAATCTACTGGATTGAGAGAGCATATAACTAGTGCCCTGTATGGATTCCATTATGGCTCCAACAACTATTAACAACAAAACAACACAATATAACATTGGAACGAGTGTTAATATCCAACCTACCAATATAAAAACTGACTAATCACTAGACAACAACTACAATTTATATTTCCAAACACAAACCTAAGAGTTACATGTGGCTTGTATGACGTTGATGTCTGACTAAACTTATATAGTACGTTTAAGAACTACATCTAACAGTAATCACAATACTTATATATCAACAATACTCTTTTATAATACTTAAACACAAAATGGCGATCTTGCCCGAAATGTTTTTTTTATTTTTATTTTTTCATGATAGATAGTTTCTCAAGTTTTTTTTGCTTAAAGGTTTTTCAATAATATATCTATCTTATATAAGTGATAGGCTAATATCTATAGTGATATAATTTATATCTTATTATTAATTATATACAAGTTAAACTTTATAGACCTACCTGGTCATAGTCCAATGGACTAAGATAGGATAGGGCTAACCCTTAACCCATGGTTCAACTCCAGCTGGGGGACAATTCATATATCCCAAAAAGGATTTTGTATCACTGCTCCTATAACTCATAATAGAGAGCGATTTGGGTTGTTTCGACAATCAGGGAACCTTATGAGTAGACTACACCCCATAGATTGAAAAGATAGATGATCTGATTGATAAACTTTCTGATCAAGTATTGTCTAGAAAATACCTCCAAAAGAGGAAGAAGTTTCATGAAATCTTTCTGGTAGTAAAACCATTAGTCGCACAACTATCAGTAAGAGTTTTACATGTCCAATAGTAGTGAGAATCTAGTCAGGGGTACAGGAGGTTGCTTGTATTACGGGATGTTCTATCCTAAGAGATATACTTGCGACGATTGATTGCATAACCCCATAAAATGTAACTCCCCACATGTGTTGCTAGATTAGATTAGGAAGAGTAAGGCTAGGTCCGATTCCCAAATGGATTTGATATACTAGTGTACCCTCATCCCGCCAATAATATCTTTCTAACTAAATCCTAGTAAGTCTTGACTAAACTAAATGGTTGAAAAATGGTAGTGATGGCTGCTAACAAAGATCAGCAAGTCAATAAAAATACATCAGCTTATATATAGCAAATTTAATCACCTTCATGTCTATACTTAGAGGCTTAAGCCTAAGACAAGTAGTTAGGAACTATTATCATTATCATGTTTATGTAGTTCGGAGAAACACCGGGGGACATGAAAAAAAAGCATGATGATGGATTCCTGAGTTAATGTTGAAAAAAAAAAACAAGTTAAACTTTATTATATTAATAAAGATCATAAGTAATGCTTCACTTTAACATTAAAAAAATATATACAGAGGGTGATCACAGGTATCGGAACGATTGGATAGTGATTAATTAAGTGATGATTTTTTATATATATATAAAAAAAATTTT